CCGGGGATTAATTGACAGACAGGCCCACTTAATGCGCGGCATGCATCGGCCGGCCGGCGACGAAAATATGTTACTTAACAAAAAACCCTATGCATTTTATGTTACATTTAATAGTTAGAGCATATATTTAGTGATTTTAATGGTAACAGATCATTGATGCAATAACATTTTGACCCAATTTGCCTGACTTGACACATGGAATAAAACATGGGCGTAGGAAGCATCCTCAATGTGGGTGAGACAATTTAACGGGGTGTGGGCAGGTGGTGGACCTCACCTCCTCTAGGGGGTCCGGGGGCAAGCTCTCCCGGGAAGATTTTTTTTTAAATGTTGAAGTTAAATGCATCAATCTGGTGCACTTTGAGAGCAAAATTAGGAACTAAATCTATGGCAGTCAGTAGGGGCTTGGACTGTGAGCCGTAGGGTCGCCAGTTCAAGTCCCCGACCAGACTTACATTTGGAGTGTGGACTTCTAGGTCCCAGTTCACCTCCTGCCCTGCCGTGGTGCCCTTGAGCAAGGCACCGGACATCCCCCTTCCCCCCTCACTCCCATTGCTCCCCGGGCGCTGTACAATAGCTGCCCACTGCTCCTAGTACTAGACTCCTGGTACTAGGATGGGTTAAAAACAGAGAACGCATTTCACTGTGTGTGCTCTGTGCTCTGCATGTGTNTCCCAGCTCCAACCAAGTCAATGCATTAAAACACACACACACACACACACACACACACACACACACACACACACACACACACACACACACACACACACACACCCCTCCATTCCCCGTGTTATCCTGATGCATTAGCGAGTGCAGTCATCAGTTATCCTCTACTGACCCGCTAAACACACAGTCACCACATGTATACACACTAATGCTCACAAACACTCATCATACTTCTGCATGTTATCTATGACAAACTGTTGTTCATGTTCCAGGAATCTTAATAATAGATTTGTGTGTGTGTGTGTGTGTGTGTGTGTGTGTGTGTGTGTGTGTGTGTGTGTGTGTGTGTGTGTGTGTGTGTTTTAATGCATTGACTTGGTTGGAGCTGGGAGACGCAGATGGGAGGCCAGAGTGAGAGAGATCAATATATCTTTGTGGTGTGGAGCTGGTGGTGGAGCTTCCCCCTTTCTCTTCATCTGCTTCTTACACTTCCAAAATCCAAGCAAGCATCAATAATAAAATCACAAATCTATTTTCAGTCTCCACCGCCATTCCTTAATAAGTGAGCCTCTGCGGGGGTTAATTTTACAGTGGATAAAGGTCAAGTTTATATTTTAGTTACCACTTTGTTGAGGAGTGTGGATCAGGTGACATCCACACACAACACAACACACCATGCATGTACAGCAGCTATTATGGGATGCATTAGGGTTTGGGTTTGAGTCTATTTATGTGCAATTATGTTTGTTCTTTTCTATATTGATGCTGGTGTAGTGAGCTTAGGGTCTAGTATATGTGTGAGCATGATGGTTCTTTTGATACATCAGCAGGCCATTAGGACACTAACAGGTTTTTAAAAGGTAGGCTTGGCTCTGCCTGCTGACACAATAGTCTGCTTCCTCTCAGTCAGACACCTCAGCAAGATCAAGCTAAACAATACCATGCTATCATATATGCAGCTCAATGTTGTTTACACATGACATTTATCTTTCAGATTGTCCTAGTGGGCTGATAAGAATTGCATAGCAAAGCAAGGCTTTATCAAAATGTAATTAATAATGATAAATTAAAGATAAATTCTTGACTATTTCCATTTTAAGTAAAAGCAATTCCACCATATGACGTATTCAATTACAAGTAAAATGCTATTGCATTCGAGATCTACCACTACATAAGTACAAAGAGAGCAGACAAAATATGTAATTAAAGTGTCAAACGTTGAAGTACTCGATTACTGCCTTTGGCATTTTAAAAATTGATAGAGATAGTCGATAATCAGTAGATAAAAGTAAAACATTTGACATTTCGTTGTGTAAAGCCATATTAAATCTAAACAAATCTAATCATGTACTTACCTCAACTTTGCAGTAAATGTACTTTGTAAGTGTACTATTCAGCGAACAATAATGTAGAAATGGATTTAATGTTCACAGTTAGTGGGAATAGTCATGACTGAACCAAAACTAATTTAGAATACAGCGGAAACGATTTCACAGACCTGTTCAACTAAAGTATTTTCTTGGAAGTTTAGAGCGTAAACACCACAAAACTGTTTACTTATCAGCAGAGACCAATTCCATAAGAATCAAGACAGCCTCTGGATTACTGCTTTTAGAAAGAGAAGTAAGAGTGAAAAAAAGAGAGACAACGTGAGAGAGTGAAGAAGTGAATGAAAGGTTGAATGAAGACAGACAATAGTTGGGGAAGTGAAACCATACGAGCGCCTACCTGAGCGATGGTACCTGGCTGCATTGTGGCCGCAGTGAGAGAGACGCCTCCTGGCCTCCACAGAGAGAGCGACCATCATGGCTCCCATAATGCAACTGGAATAACACCACTAACAGGCTGCTCTGAAATACTCTAAATACTGCTGGAGATCCCGAGATTAGAGCAAAGTCTAAAAAGACACGATCCAGACTAAAAAAGACTTTAACAGGCGTGAATCCGTTGATCAATGCTAACAAAGTGCTCACCTCTCTCATCTCAGGGCAAAGCTTGAAAGTCTGACTGTCATGTACACAGACAACTGCCAAGCACTGTGGAAAAGGTGACAGGGGAGAGAGTGTTTCACTGCGTGTTTCTGTGCACGTGGCCACATTTGTGAATCTGTTTGAGTTTGTGACAACACATCGCAGTGAGAAGAGAGAGATGAAAAAGAGGAAGGATCAAAGCTTATGACCTTTCACATCACACACCTCCACGTTTCCTTTAGAAGAAGTCTGTCTGTCTCACTCCCTTCCTCTCGTCTGATCGTACTCCATAGAGAAGCCCAATAATAAAACTTCTACACACTGTTTCACCCTCTCTGTTATACAAATATCTACAATCCAGCCTCTATCCTCTATCTTCACAATACTACGCTGCCGATTCAATTATTTTTAGATTTATTTTAAAAAAAATCAACAGTAGACCATGGGGATAATACTAAATGGTACTGTTCTACTATGAGAGAATAGATGGAAAAAATGCTTTGAGATTTTACAATTTAGATACGCATAACCCACAAAGTGTTGGTGAGGTTGATAATCTTCTTAATTTCTATCCTTTTCCAAGATAAACTCACACTACTGAAAACAATGTATTTGTGTGTCACTATACAATTGCCAGTTTCAAGTTCTTTGAGTGTCTACACACACTTGATATGAACAGACTTTACAACCCTCAATCAGACCAGAAAATAATAAATAAATATCTAAAAAAGAAGAATGGTTTAGTGCCATGTTGATACCCTATTGTATAAAGAAGAGGAACTGTTTGGTTAAAGTATTGAAACATCACAGCAAATACATTTTGTATGGAAGAATTTAAAGTCAAGGACTGCTGTTTCTAATATTAATGCTAAGCTAAGCTAACCAACTGCTAGCCTGTTAAGCCCCAAGCCTGTTTTTCAGGTCTCAGGCTCGAAAAGGACATTTCCAGAACAAATGACCATAACTGCACTTCTAAAAGGGGAAAATTAATAATCTTTTTTCTCAAAAGTAATGATAAACCTGTGAGTTGGGTGTAGAAAAGTCAGAATCAATATAGATGTTTTTTATTTTTAAGAAAATTCAATTTGAACACCATAAAACTCACCCTTGGATGATGGGTTAGTACAGCCTTTCCCAAACTCAGGGTCGCGACGGACCCGTTTTGATTGGGTCGCCAGTTAAATGCATTGCTACACACACACAGCGTCAGAGCTGATTGGCTGCGTTGCAAATACAATTTTTAAATAATTTTTGTATTTTATTTTGAAAATGAAATTATGCAATATAGCATTGTATATTGAATGATTACATTTTTCTAAATACAAATAAACTAAAAATAAAAGATTGTATTTGTATCAGCTCTGACGCGTCCCCCGCGAAAGTTTTCGCGCTGTCTGTTTATTGTCTGTTGATTAATCCCGATCGTACATGATGGCAAAAAGACGATACAAATAGGAGTTTTTAAACGTTGGCTTCACAAAAGCTGTTAGAAATGGAGAGGAGCGGCCTCAGTGTGTTTTATGTGGAGAGGTGCTCAGTAACGAAAGCTTGAAA